CGGTCGATGGCCGAGTTGGCATAGGCAGCTCTCTCGTGGTGGTCTTCAAGGCGGTGCTCCGGAGTGTTCTTGGGATCCTTGATGTGGCCAGCGAGGGCATCGGTGGCACCAATCATGTTCTCGCAGGCAATGACGGCCAGAGGCTTCTCGTCATTCGAGCGCTTCTCAATACCCTTGGCAATGACTGGGGCAATGAACTTGAGAATGTTGGGACCGACAGAGCAGGTGACGACATCGGCAGTTGCAATCTCGTCAATAAGTTCGGCTTCATTGTGCTTGGAGTTGATGGCTCGGTAATTTGTGATCTTCTTTGTGACTGTGCCCTCGACGCCACGCTCAATGACGTTGTACGAAGGAGTAGAGTTTAGAGAATCGACAAGCTTGTCGACGACATCGGCAAAGACGACTTCATAGCCTGACTCGTGCAGGAAGCAGGCGACGAAACCTCGGCCAATGTTGCCGGAACCGAAATGAACAGCCTTCTTACCCATTGTGAACGGATGTTGGGTAGGTACTAGGGAAGATGGGAGGGGTGAAGATGTATGTTATTATTGGTATGTAGGTGTAAGGTTATGTCAAAGCGTTCCTAGAAAATCAGGAAACACTAAGAGTATGGTTGTGTGAATAGGTTTGTTGAGAAAAAGAACTAAAAAATTGATAGAAGATGAAAAATAGAGGAGGGAAAACTGGGTGTTCTTATGTATTACACAGATTACGCAGAAAGGGTTGGCAATCACGATGAAGGGAAGCAGCGCAGTGCAGTTGACTGTACCGATTAGAAGCCACGAGGCCCACGAGCCCTGGGCTATTCGACCGGATGTGGAGGCCCGAGGGGCACCTTTCAGCCAGCCTGTATTGTATTGTATGTATGTATGTATGTATGTATGTACATACATACATACGTATAATACGACCTAGCGACATCCACCGTTTCACTAACAGCGCTGCACAGCCGTATTGAAAACAACCTACCGGCGTTCCTAACAATATAGGTACTATTTGTGATGTTCACATCCATAAACACATCAGGTGCTTTTCGTCATCTCATTCATCACAGAGCGGGACTATTCCATCAACTTCAAAGGCCCCAACCTACAAACCTGCAGGAAATTAGACTCGTCCAGACAAATTATACTTGTATCTCACAATATCAATTTGGAGACACCATCTTTCCCATTGCCATCACTCCAACCATCGCATGATCTAGCTACAGGTACCTACCTGTGTAATATTGCATTCATTATTATCAGTCTGCGTTTTGATATTACCTGTCATGTATATATATATGGCTTTCACTGTTTTGAACCTCCCTTACTACCGTTTTACTTCGTGCCCAGCAATACTGTGGATTCCGAAATGTCCCTGCGTGGTACTGCTATGCTAGTCCGTTTTAATATCGTCATTTTGGCCCCATCCATCTCTCATCCCTGAGGTTCGCCTAGATATCCCCGTCTCCTGAATCCATCAATCCCTTGAATATAATGATGTACTGTACCTCGAGATCGGCGTCAAGAGAGCCCATACGGCATATTCGCAAACCACCATAGGCGCTACGGGCGCTAGACAGCTACTGTAGACCACATAGCAGACGCGGAGAGTTGATGAATTCATGTCGGCAACGTCAAATATATATTAGGTAGAGATTTGGAGGGCACTGGCAACACGCCGAAATCTGGGGGTGTCCACGGCCTTGCTACCCTCTACACTGGCCTCCCCTCCCCCGCCGGAATAGCCCAAGATCTGATTCGGTATCTTCTGCGTCGAGCACATGCGGATAATACAGTTATGGCTACGATAAACTAGTCCCTGCATCAATAACCACGGCTCATGACCACCAATGAGATTGGACACTGGTTTCCATGGGCAAGAGATAGAGACGCCGAATATAGATTATAGTAGCATGGTAGTTCAAAAAGTAGGGCCAGCATAGCCGGCTGGGAGGAGGTGTGGCCCTCGGCGCTTCTTCATCAATTATCGTGATACCGCAGCTCCACACACACACACGTTCTTAGGCGCAGTAGCACAGTGTCTTAACCATGAAGGAAGGTAGGATATTTATGAATCATATCTTCGATATCCGCAGTCGGGAGTTATAAACAGCACAAAATCCCAAGAAGAGCCAACAATTCTTTCAAGTGAAGGAATAACCAATCTGTTAATAAGAAGGGATACGGGTCTCTTCCCATGGTACTTGAAGGCAGTTGAGAGAATCCTATGACCTCATGGGCCTGTTATTTCGTAGGTGTCCTGATATGGAAAACACATGCACTTACAGCCTCCCTTTCGACCGTTTTCGAGACGGAAATTGATACGTAAGTACATACATATTTACACGGCAAGGTTATCCACCGGACAACCACGATCGCATCCCCATAACTGAACCAGTTTCGCCAGCCAACCAAGTGTGCCCTCTCATCCAACTTTTGGTAATCCGAGCCCCTCATGATCCTGGTCGATGACTTCATAGGGCGTCAACCCGCTCACCCATCCAGAACCTAGATATCCTCGTGCCTAGCACAGCTAGCAGCAGATCGGGGCAGCGCTAGACACAGTAATGAACCAATTGCGCTTCCTAAACATCAATCATCGTGAGCATCAGCTAACAGTCTGCTAGGGGTCCAAAGGGTCCTAGGGTTGCATTCGATGCATTTCGATTGATTCTTGGGTCATTATAATCCATGATTACCAGCCCTAATGATTACGTATCCTAATTCCTTCTCACATCATCGCTGTTTCATTAAGTCATACATACGGATTACCTATATTATGCAAGTACCTACTTGTAGGCACTACTGAGTCTTGACTCGCTTGACTATACATACATATGTAGGTAAGTAGTCCATACACAAATCACGACGTACCTCGAGGCTCGAAGTACATAGACAGTTATAATAGTCGTGTCAGTCCAAGCGAGCTTCAGCCAATCAGTCCATCCGCCCTCTTGTCGTTTAGTGGTTAGAGCTTGAACTTTTCGATCTACCCATTCCACGACGACCAAGCCTGGAATATCCTAGTGATGAAGAGACGCACCATGATACCCCCGCATATCAGCCGGCTTATGCCCGAGCCTTGTTTGCAGTCGATATTTAACAAGGCTCTCCGCGCAGGTGTGCAAGGAAGGCTACGAACCGTTTTATCGTGATCCTTCGCTGTTATCGATACAGCCATCACTCGTATAACAGATTTCAACAAATCCATTGATCCCCTGGAGAACGGCCGTCACTTGGCGCTGATACATACAGTAAGAGAAGCCTAGAAAATGACACTACTCGTTCATTGAGACAAGCTTACAGTTAGCCGTGTGTAAGGCATTCACCGCCTCACGCATGGCGGAGAGCCTCGTTTGCAGCTTACGTTTTAATCTAAGCGGTTTGACAATCCCATCTCGCAGCTGTCGAGGCCCAAACAAGGGCACATCTCTTCTTTACAATCTCGACACATCTACGCGTTTCTTGGGAGCAGCATAATTCGACACAATTAGATACATTACCTGTTGTCATGACGACCTGTAAGTCCAGCGGCTAATTAGTTATAGCTTCGAAGTCCATGGTTTGGTATTTCAGCGGGCTATGTATAATCCACTCACTCACGAAGGTTAGGTACAAGCAACTCCAATTGGCAGATAACGACGTTTTCCTGCCTGTTCATTGGACAGGCCGGAGACTTTCGAGCACTGCAAGGCTCTATCTACGGATTATTGTCGCAGATTCGCTGCCGTTAGTAGTCATGCATAGGAATGCCTAACAACCACCGGGGGGGGATCATACGAAACTTCTATGGTCCATTTGTTGCCTTCCTGCTTGCGCCAAATCTGGATCCTGGATCTTTCTTGTTCCGCTTGCCTCGATCGAGGCCTCGAACAGTTCTTCCGGTGCTAGCGGGCCGATTATGCAGCGGTGGAATTATTTTGTGGGCATACTTATATGATAGATATCAACTCGCTAGGTATAGGGGCGAATTGTGTCTTTGACCTTCTTAGTCAACGAAAAGGACCGACGGTGCTACTGGTTACCCTCTCCTCCTATTTCGAGAGTATACTATCAGAATCCTCTTGCAATACGAAGAAGACGAGTAACGTGCTCGAATGCGCTGTTGCTGTTGCTCTGGGGGATGTCCGGCTACTTACCTCTTGCTGACGGGCACGAGAACGTCCGTGGGTGCCTCTCGGCCTGACTGACCACTTGTGGGGCCGATTTATCCCGATATAACTCCAAAACGGTCTAACGCCGTCTCTATATTTCGGTAAAAATGGATCTTACCCAGTCACGATATCCGTTAACAGCGGCACGGAAGAGCCCTTGCGAGTGATTCGGTTATTCGGGGCCATCGTAACATCTCCCAAATTTTCTGCAGCATGGGTCGTCTTGCTGCGGCAGGCTACAGCACAGGCTTACTCAGATGCCATATACTATGACAATTCCCGTGTAGGATTGAGAGCCAGACGTTTCAATCCGCTGCCTACCTGTTGACACTACGCGTAGTTAATTACGTATGTTTCGATCAGCCGACTTTGAATTTGTGCCCGTACTGTCGTCAACTGGGCCGTCTGGCAAGCCATAGACCGAGAGCAGGTGGTTGTACAGTCCATCTTCCAGAGAAACGTTTGGACTCGTTCGACTTGCTCAACCACTAAGCTCTATCATTCCCGCGGGCAATACGAACTGGCTCCTCATTTCCCCTGTTGGTCCCAGCCACAACCTTGAATTCATCAATTCGGGCTCGAGAGATCGTTAGCACGTAAAGGGCCAGACATGAGGCTACGATGGCGATGGAATAGGCGCTATGTATTTTCTCCCCCTTTCTCTTGAGATCTCAGAAGTAATAAAGTTCAGCTACCTCTTCATAATTCGCGAAATGTATACGAAAGCGCCCGTCGCATTTTAATGTGCTCTTTGAAATATTTGATGCGCACTGTGGTTTATTGATTGGTGGACAGGGTTTCGCGTCACTCCACAATTGAGCTAAGGTCTTAGGTAATTATTTTATGTTTTACTAAACATGTCTTGGTGGCTCAGTTGGCTAGAGCGTTGGTCTCATATTTTCATGATTCAACCACAGGTTGGGCTATCCAAAGGTCGTGAGTTCGAGCCTCACCCAGGACATGTTACATTCTCTTTTTCCTGTTTTATTTGATGTGATTTTTATCTCGTTCATGCACCAAGACTTTGTCTAAGCTCTTATGCTATCTTACGTATTTTAATAATTTAAATATATACATAACAGATTTCGTTGCTATCGAACTTCGGTGTTTCTCGTGAGAAATTATCACGATTAAAAAGATATTGGAGACAGTGCCTGCACTGGTTCTCCTATGCCTTGACGATCAACTTCTTGCCAGTCAGCGCGAATCGCAATGCTACAAGAGATCCAGCAGTAGCCATGAATAGAAAACCGGCAAAGAGCTGGATCCCAAGATAATTTCCAGTAGAGCTCAGTATAGCACCGGCGATAGGCGTACCGATCAGGGACGCCACGCTATTCAACACTGAAGACATACCGAGTCGTGTTCCTAGACGGCTGAGGTCGGGGGTAAATGAAGTAAGCACGACGGCCGGCAGGGCTACGACACCGCCGGAAAAAAAGCCGAAGAAGGCCGCGAATGCAATGTTACCCGCACCTGAGTTAGTGTTAATCCAAGCGAACACGGTAACGCCAGACAGGAAAACACTGAGGGAAAAGGTGTGAACAGGGCCTATTCGATCCGCTATGAGCGAAGGCATCAACCTTCCGAAAACGGACGCAGCGTTGAGTAACGCGACTAAGTATAGGGCAATGGTCTGGCCATCTAAACCATGAGAGAGTGCGTAGGTCTGGAGATAGAAGATGGGCGAGAAAAACGCTAGGTAACTAAGGCTGATACCAAAGCAGTAGATGACATATGGGCGCTCGTGGAATGCTTGAACATCGATCAGAGACCGAACTTGAGTGGCAACAGTCCGCCTGCGTAGGACGAGAAATGATATTGATATCGTCGCCAAGGAGGTGAAAGCCATGATGCGAGTCGCCCAACCAAAGCCGACTCTAGGAAGCAAGCCTTGAAACATGAGGGCGTAAATCACGCCGCCCAAGCTGCTGCCAGACGTGACGATACCCATCGCCAGGGCCTTGCGCTTATAGAAGTACTGAGGTATGATGGCAACAGACGGTATATAAAGACATCCCGTGCCTACGCCGACACAGAGCGCCTGCGCAAGCATCACTTGCCAATACTCGGTGCAAAGACTAGTCATCATCAAGCCGAACGGTACGAGTACCAGGCCAGACCAGAGGAGGAATCGTAGGTGCCCGGCATCGTAGAGCGGACCGCTGATTACCCCGACCACTAATAACAAAAACGACTGGGTTGAGCCAATCCACGATATTGACGACGGTGACATGTGCTGGAGCAGCTCGTTTTCGTAGTAGGTTTGAAACACACCAAACGTGTTCGTGATGCCCCTAAGTTTGAATCAGGTACTTGCGCCGAGTCGATTGGATATATATGGCTTCATAACGTACCAAGTATTGAAGAAAAGGGCAAAGCACCCGACCACCTGTAGCCATGCTATCAACCCTCCGTCTGGCGGGTCATCTTTTTCCGCAACAGTCACCTCGGTGGCTTCTGCTTTCTCCTGCTGGTTTAAGCTTTTATCTCTCGGAACGATCCCGTCCTCCACGGTGATGTCTGACTGGGTTAGCCTATTTGCCATGTTTCCCCAGTTCGAGAAATGGGTAGCCCGCGCATAGATGTTGAAGAAAAGGCTTCAAGGTAGTGGGAACAAACACATTATTCGAAGCCGTTGTCGCGGATTGTCGACTTATAAATCACCGCGGGGAATGTAACCGTATATCGTAACAAGCCACTTAGCGGGTCAACTTGAAAACAACTATGACCGTTGGACTAGTGGCACAATCAGATGGCAAAACCTATGGATACCATCCAGCCGAACTCGGACTAAGTTGTGTACTGCTCCTTACAAATTATCGTGAGCGGTACAACGTTATCGCTAGGTAGTTACAGGTAGTCACCGAGTTGAGCGGAGCTCCAATGGTCTCTGATACTGAGTGGGAAAATGTCATAAGACGGCCCTGACAAGTTTTGTACATACATGAGCTGAGGCATCCTGTCTATAAACTTAACGTGCAGATGGATGGCTGTTTGTAATGAACAAGGTAGTATATACGATTGTCTCAAGGCGTAGTCTATAAGATGTATATTATGCAATTTACCGTCGAGTTGCGGCATAAGCCGATTCCAAATCTACCTATCCGTTACCCAACCCCAACCCCTATTTCAATACGAATAGCGCTTAATCGTTGCCCGTAGAGAGTCATCACGTACCTAGGTAGAAGCTGAATTGACTAAGAAAATACACGCCATTCTTCTCTAGAAGATTTTCTACCTATATCTTCAATACCGTGGTCGCCAAAAGCTTTCATTCATTACCTAAGCTACCTACCTAGGTATGTAGGTACCCACTTACTTATGCTAACTTGTTTCACGTAATTCGTTGCTTTGGCAACACAGTTTCAGACCGTGCTTGCAAACAACTTTGAACCCATACCGTTAACGACTCAGAGCCTTGACTCCTTTTCAGGCCTTCGAGTCGTCTCGAACCTTCACTTGCTGGCAAACTTCTTGAAGGCACCAATCAGGCTGCCAGTGCTTGCATCATGGCCTTGGCCATCCCCAGGTTCATCCAGCTCCTTAAGAATCTTCTTGGCGAGCACCTTGCCCAGTTCGACACCCCACTGGTCGAACGAGTTGATGTCCCAGATTGCTCCCTCGGTGAAGGTCAGGTGCTCGTAGTACACGATCAAAGCGCCTAGTTCTGCAGGTCCAATGACGTCGCCGACCAAAACGCTGGTAGTTGGTCTGTTGCCAAGGAAGACTTTGTGAGGGACAAGCTCGTCAGTTGTGCCCTCGCTCTTGACCTGATCGGCTGTCTTGCCAATCATGAGGGCTTCGGCCTGCGCGAAGTAATTGGATGCCAGCATCTTCTGGTGCAGGTTGTCTGTGATAGGGTTGTGCGACTTGGCGGCGAGAATAAAGTCAGTTGGGATCAACTTGGTACCTTGGTGGACAAGCTGGAAGAATGAGTGCTGCGCGTTGGTGCATGGCTCGCCGAAGACGATAGGGCCGGTAGTGTACTTCGCAGGCGAGCCATCAGAAGTGATGGTCTTGCCATTGGACTCCATGGAGAGCTGCTGAAGGTAGGCAGGGAAGCGATGCAAGTATTGATCAAAGCTGCCTTCATATTAGCCGCTGGTCTGGTGCCTCTCCTCTGTGACTCTCCAGCTATAAACTTACGGGGCAACCAAGTGTGTCTGCGCAGCAAAGAAGTCGCTGTACCAAACGCTCAATAGGCCACCAAGGACAGGGATGTTGTCCTTCAGGGGGGTCTCGCGGAAATGCTTGTCCATCGCGTGCGCACCAGCTAAGAATTTGTGGAAATCGTCGTAGCCGATGTATAGCGCTACGCTAAGACCAATGGCACTCCAGACCGAGTATCGACCACCGACCCAGCTCTCGAAGCCAAACATGTTCTTGCTATCGATTCCAAACTTGGTGACCTCGGATTCGTTGGTCGAGAGGGCGACAAAGTGCTTGGCGATTTCTCCCTTGCCTCCAGTCTTTTCCAGGAACCATGTCTTCGCAGTATTTGCGTTTGTGGTCGTCTCGGCAGTGGTAAAGGTCTTGGAGGCGACGAGGAAGAGCGTCGACTCAGGGTCAGAGCCGGCGAGGGCCTCGGCCATGTGGGTGCCATCAATGTTGGAGACAAAGTGTAGGGTCATGTCCTTAGCACCGTAGTGCTTCAGAGCTTCGGTCACCATAACGGGTCCCCTACCACACTATTAGAGAGAGTACGTTTCAAGATGTGGAGGTTCACCGAGATCATAGACACGCGAGGCACTCACAGATCAGAACCGCCAATACCGATGTTGATGATAGTCGTTAGCTTCTTCCCTGTGTACCCCTTCCACTCGCCACTCCTGACTTGCTCGGAGAATTCCTTCATGTGCTGCAAGACGTCGTTGACACCACCCTTGGTGTTCATGACATCCTGTCCTTCTACCTTCATATCCCAGCCGCCGACATTGCGCAAGGCAGTGTGGTAGACAGCTCGGTGTTCAGTGAAGTTAATCTTCTCACCAGCAAACATAGCATCGCGCTTCTTCTCTACGCCGGCCTCCTCGGCGAGCTTCACTAGCAGATCAATGGTGTCCTCGGTCACGAGGTTTTTACTGAAGTCAAACAGGATATCGGTGCCGGAAACGCTGTTGTGGAAAGTCTTGCTAAACTTGTCGAAACGGGCTGGGTCGGAGGCGAATGCTTCCTTCAACACGAAGGTCTTACCCACGGTCTTGTAGTGGTCTTCTAGAGAGGCCCAAGTGGGCAAAGAGACTGCTTGAGGCATCTCGATCTGGGTGAATTTGGACAGGAAGAAATGCGAAGAGGAAATCTTGGGTGATAGCTACTGCGCCAGGCAGTTTCGAAGTCAGCACAAAGACTTGAGAATGTACAGGAGACAGAGTACGAGGATCTGGTTATTCGAGGGACAGCAGGGTTGAGAGAGAGAAAGTGAGGGAGAGAGAGAGAGAGAAGTGTGTAGAATTTGCGTGCATTATATAGTTATCGTCATTAACGGGCCAAGGAAACAAGGGGAAAGCAATTCGGAAGTGGGGGGAAGCAACAAGCACATGTCACAACACCGTTTCACTTACCTACCGCCGTGAGGGGAAAGCCAAATACCTAGCTCTTACGATACCTGGGGATTAAAGACTGAGGTCTGAGATTTGCAATAGGGGACAAGGCTGAATAAACAGCACTTGCTAGTAATTTGATACTTTGACTTGTCTCTGCAAAGAAACTTATCGAGGTGGGGGTTTCGGGGTGGATGAGTGAGCGACATTTCTTAGCTCTTTTTTCATTGCATCTCGAAGTCGAACTACCCCGCGCTAGTGACGTGATGCTTTCTCATGTACTCGACAGTCTCGACTCATCATTCATGTATGTATGTAGTATGTACAGAAGCACTATCTCCGACAGTCCGATAGGTTACCCTACATGTATCTGAAATTACGCACTTAATTGCATGGACGTGCATATTGAATGTACATA